GGGTTCCCCCTGTGATCTGAGATGATACCCCTATGAGAAAAGCAAAGAAAACCACCTCCAACCGAGACGCAAGGCAGAGTCAAGGGGAGGAGTATCCCTTTGCCAGGATACACAAGTGTCCACAGTTGCCTTGGGCACAGTCCAATGATGTTTGAAAGTCAATAATTTGGCAAATGGGCCACCACAGATCTTAAGACAATGGTTTACAGGAGTTCAATTTAAGAGCCTGATGAACCCACTACAGGTTTAAAATACTGCATTTACTAGATCCAACTGGCTATCACAGCTTAGCAATACAACAGATACACTGCAGAATTTTGGAGGGTGACTCTCACCATCCTGTGGCTCAACAGTATACACTGTTATACTTGTTGCAGGTGCTGCAGGTAAGGCAAGAGCTCCAATGACGGGGCTGGAGAGATGGCTCAGTGGTTAAGATCATCGACTGCTCTTGCAGAGACCTGAGTTCAGTTCCCAGCACACACATGGTGGCTAATGATGGTCCATAACTCTAGTTCCAGGGAATCGGGCGGCCCTCTTCTGACATCCACAGGCACCAAGCACACACGGTATACTTACATACATGCAAACAAAATGGTCATATAAATCAAATAAAAAATAATAAAAAATAAAATGTTAAAAGAAACCTCCAACTATGCTTTCTCCTCAGTATGCACTGCTTCTGCACCACTATAATGCTGTAAAATCAGTAAGTCAAAGCATCATGAGTCAAGGTCTAGCCACACATTGATGGGAGGTGTTGAAGGGGTTGCAACTACATCCAGGAACATGCAGAGTAGCTTGTGGCTAGTCAGAGAAAGTGGGAGGTGTGGCCCATGGTAAGGTAAGATTTTAACAGAATACACCTGGAAGGCCAGGAGACCCACCGAGAGGAAGACGTTGGAACAGCTAAGGCAGTGTGGGGTCTGGGCTTCACTTGTTCATCTGCCATGGGAAGGAAGGACACACACCAGACAGGTTAGGAAGGTGAAGATGAGGACAGTGATCATCACACGCACAATGCCTTCAAGGGCAGGAGGGAACAGACCCCCTGAGCTGAGGTTTGGCAAAATTGCTGCAGAACTCTACAGACTGTCAAGGACAAGCCAGCTAGAAATACCTGTGGATGGGAACATGGAGCTAGGACTGCCAACTTCATTTTCAAATCGCCAGGAAGAACAGCAAGCTTCCCTGGACTCTGTTGTCATGCTGAAAACTCCCTTGGTTACCCAGGATCTTATTGGAGATTTCACTGTGGTTCACATACACAGGCCTGGTTACATTAGCAAGTACCAGAGACTTCTGGAGGAGGCAGCTGCTGTCCAGCAAGGCCTGCCAGGAAACTACAATCAAGCCAGAGTGCAGGGCTTGAGAGTCCAGCAAGCCAGTAAGGGCAGCATACATAGATACTTCTCACTATAGCTGAACTCAGCAACTACTCTCTAAGGGCAGGGACATTCCCATAAAAAATAGACCAAGGGATGGCAGAGCTCCCTCTGAGGCCAAGTGACTCAGGAGTGGGAGGGAAAGGCACGCCAAAGAGTGAGATGCAGCCGCTTTTCAGGAAACACATCTAGAAATTGAAACTAGAGGAAAGGAATACTGCACTTCTCATATAATGTTAGAAGTACATTTTTAAAAGTATCCATTACTTTTTGGTACTCGCTGAACATTAACAAAAACAAGCAGCATATTAGACAACAAAGAAACCTTAATCATAAAAAAAAAAAAAAAAACCCTGTTCTTTTGTGATAAAGCCATGGGCCTCAACTATGTGAAATACCTTTGCCTTCTGGTCCCACAGTCCTCTCAGTCCTAGAAGTGACTAATCCAAGTAGGGCCCGTTAACTTGACAAACACAGGGTAGGCTCCTGTCTTCTCTCCAGGACCACCTGCTCTCAGGTTAGAAGGGCCCATGGTCAACAGGCCAGGTAGAACCTTCTAGAAGCTGAGTCAGGTCTTTCCTGTTCTGAGTTGTGTGTGATCTACAATCTGGAACATCTATGAAATAGGGGTTATGCAGGCACTAACAACCTGAAAGGCATCATCCAGACTCAGCCCCTCCCCATCCCCACATCATTGTTGGGAGAATTTTCCAAGTTACATGTCTGCTCTGGTTTTCTTCTGATAAAGTCTAAGGGCCAGGTACTTTCAGAATTTGACAGACTATGTTAAATAGTCGATTAAATCAAACCACTGATGCCATTTCAGAACTCAGCATAAAAAAGCTACAAACGTTTCTTACTTCTGACTGGTCTTATTGAAAATTTAACAAGAAGTCACGGTTGTTGTCGTGCAGTAAACATTCTCTCCCTCACCCCAAGAACTACGGCTCACATACCTTTGTGGAGATGCTAAGAAGCAGAAGCAGAAAATGTTTCCACTACTTTTCTGCTTCTTAGAAAAATACACCCTGGGGGCTAAGGATGTAGCTCAAGTAGGTAAAGTGCTTGGTCCACAAGTACAAGAACCTGAGTGTGGATTCCCCAGCACTCATGTTAAGGTTCAGTCACACACACACACACACACACACACACACACACACACACATACACACGTTCAATTCCCTGTATAACTCCCCAAAAGAAAGAAAACAAACTCTACTCTTCCCTTTGGATCTGAGAACAAGATGTAATGCATTCAATTCCAAATACCACCAAAGCTATAGCAGTTCCAAGCCTCTTTAGAAAGGAAAGAGAAAGCTGTGAATGAGAAGGCAGGGGCGAGACACAGGCTACGTACTCTGATACCTTGCTGTCTGAACAGGAGGCAGCAGGAGTGGAGGCCGGCAGGCGTGTACATGAATCAATTCCTACAGCCTGAATCCCCATTATAACCCCACAATCTTTCAGCTTCTACTTTTATTTTGTTACCTGGGCTCCGGTCCTGGAAATACACTAGGTGAGTGACCTAGGAAACTTAGTACCTCAATATCTTCAATGTTAAATTCAGAAAATAATATCTACTTCAGAGTCTAAGGACTAAACAAGACAGGGTAGGCAGCTCTCAGTAAAGTGTTTGACATACAGTAGGCACTCAATAAATATAAACCATAAAAATAGTAGTGTCTTATTAACATCCATCAAGGGCTGAATGTAAGACCACTAATTAGCAAAGTTTCATGCATCAACTGAAAGCCTGATATCCACTAATAAGTGGTTTATCATCCACAGGACCAGTCATTACAAACCAAGGACCAGCAACTCATGAGGTCATCAACACACAAAGTGCATCTGGGTCATTCTGAGATTGCTAAATTCCTCAGATAACAACCATCAGAGGCTGGAGAATCCTAAGTTGGACCTGATACCTCAGGCAAAGTAATTATCACTTCACCTTCACCAGGGACAGCTTTCCAGGGGATATGCAGGAAATTGTTAGAAAAAAACAATTAAATTCAAATATCACTCATTCTCAACCATGAGACCTTTGTCATTCTTGAAAGGAATTAAAGAAAGTAGAAAGTGCTGGATTGTAGACAGAAGTAAAGACCACTAGAAAACCTCAAAATGGGCGTGTGCTCACTTCAGGAGCGAAGGGTAGGAAGCAGCTAAAAGAACTTCTACAAAGGAGGCTCCAGTCACAGAGCGGAGGTGAAGAAGGGAGGAAGGAAAGCACAAGCCCAGGTACGGGATGGAAGAGGAGACGGCCATGAGCTTTATAGACCTGGCCTCCTTCTGCCCACTTTCCCCGCTCCATGTTGCACTAGGCCCCATTCCTTTCCTTGTCGGAGCAGTGAGATTGCAATCCCACTAGCCAGGGACACATCTGAAGCAGAGGCTTTCTAGCAAATCTGAGCAGATTTGGAACTGTGACTTCAGTTCTCCAGGGAATGCTGGTCTTTATGGTGGCTTGGACACCCAGGATATAGAGAAACTAGGGTTCAGGGTTTGGAAGTTAGCCTAGAGAACTATCTGGAGAGCATTTGACCTTTGTTTTTTTAATAGGAAATATATGCTGGGATTCTAAAAAATGTTCAAATCTGTAGAATAGTGAACACATTAGAAGGAGTATACATGTTCTTTGTGGGAGGGGTACATCTTCAAGTCTACACAGGTGCATATGCACGCATGTATATGTGGAGGTCAGAGGTCTACTGACTCAGCTAGACTGGCTGACCAGCAAGCCCCCAATTTCCATGAGTGCTAGGGATCCAAACTCACATCTTCATGCTTATGTAGGAAGCACTTTACTGACCGAACCACCTCCCCAGACCCAATACACAGACTTTTATGCACTATGTGATATGCGTATGACAGTACCTTAAAGAGCTGAAGAACTTAAGATGAGTTTGAGAAACATCACCCCCTCCAAAGCAAACTCAACCATTTACAATATAAATTATAAGGTTCACTATATAGAGGGGAAAAACTCTCCACAGGACACAGCACCGAGGGGCCACTTCATTAATGAAATGAGACTTCAGCTGAATCCTTGAAATGCCATCCATTCCAAGAGAAGCAAGCTTTATGTTCTTAAGACTAGAAAGTTCTCCCTTTGCCAACTTTTACAAAACATAACAGTGTTTTTATATTTATAATATCTTTAACTTTAAAGAGATTTACAATATCTTTAGATATTGAGTTAAAAATCAGTAACTTAAAACCAACATTGAGTTATCAAAATCTAAAGTTTGCCCATATATAGATTTCCATTCCTATGCCCCTGACAAATACCTTAGGCTAGTTTTCCTTCATACCATTTTTCCTCTAACAAAATCGGTTTTCTTTCTTTCCTTCTAAATTTTCACTTCAAATACTCTTTCCAACGTCACTACAACTCACGTATACTTACATGTAGGTCTCTGGGGACTAAACATGCTTTCCTCTTTTTTTCTCAGGAACCATCTGACAAAAGTGGTGGTATCCACAGCTAGACACCCTGTCCCAAGGCAGAAAGAAATACAGGGAGACACCAGAAAGAAAAGCTACAGTTACAGGCACCTGCAGTTTGGTGCTGGTTACTAAGGTTGCTTATCTTCTACTATAAGCCCAAATTACCTTTGTCTGCTCACTGTCTGGGTCTTCAAGCCAAACATAAGGGTCATAAATTTTATGTCCATGATAATCCTGTACCTGCAAAAGACAAAATGAAGTCTTAAGCAAATAGAGTCTAAACCCAATTAAAATTTGTATATTCTGTATGTGATGCAGAAATGGGAAAGGGCCAGGCAAAAATACCAATAATTGGCTCACTGGCAACATGTCTGCCCACATTACCACATGAACCAAAGTTGGCAGGTTCTCAAAGGTGTCAAGTCACTCTCCACAAAAAGAATGTTTTAGACAGAGAGAGAAGAAAGGAAAGGTCAGAATGGGAGACCATTCAGCCTGCACGACATGAAACAAAGGCCTGCTGCTAGGCTAAAGAAACTCCAAAATGTGTTGTCAGGGCAAAGCACAGAAATGCACAATGCATCGGGCTCAAAAGGACTCGTCTGGAAGGGGGTCACCACACACGTGCTTAGCTCCTGTTCTTGCCAAGCTTCCATGGTTAGAAAGGCTCCCTACGACATGGCATGTGGACAGTTTTACTTTTACCTTAAGTCTAAACTACCAAAAAGCAAATTTCTAATATGTAGTAGGATTCTGTTGCCAGCTACAAAGGCTGGTCTACAAGCATTGTAACATGCTTAAACTACAGCCCTCTTTTTTATGTACCACTGTGGAATACCTTCTTTCAATACCTATAAGACAGCACAAACTCCATCATCTATTTATACTACCCTGACCCCTGAAACAAAAGGGTTCTGCATTGGCAGAGCCTGGCTGTGGGGAAGCCTCTAGAGCACACAGGTAGGGGGCTTCTGACAGCACACACTTCAGGGCTTCGTCCTCAAAGAAACAAGCAGGACAGCTTGTTATCACTCTCCAGGTGATCCTACCCAAAGACATGATCGATCCAAAGGTAAAAAAAATCATACAATCTTTCCATCTCATAGGGTCAAGATTAATCCAATAAACCAAAACCCATTATCAAAGTTTCTCCAGTCTAGCCCTAGTGAACCTAACGTTCTGGTTGAGGCTTCTTGTATTGGGCTGTGGGGAAAGTTAATAGGTAACTTGTCTCCTTGCTTTACTCAATACCAGAAGGCTAGGGCTCGCCCCTGAAGAGAGCAAACTCTCCTCGAAAGGGGAGCCTGAATGTGCTTTCTAGTGCTACTCAAAGTCCCAGCGTCAGCTGCTGGGTAAGCCCAAAGTCCTGGCCTACACCACCTGGCTCTCTGCATCTCTCATCTAAGAGAACTCTAGGGCGTGCACAACTCGTAGAAGACCTGGAGGGGATCTCATTTCTGACTGACAAAAGCAAGAGACTATGAAAACCAGGTTAAATACTGGCCTGAAGGGGCCTCATCATATTACCAATTTTGAATGGAAATTTTAAAGTCTTTTCTTCTCATCTACAAGTGTTTTACATTCTACATGTTAAAGATTGCAAATTACGATTCAGAGAAGTTAGTAAGGATAAAGGTCAATGGGTTTACTATTTACATAGCTGTAAGTTAAATCACACCATGGATTTCATCCACATTACCTCATCCATCCCTTGCTGTGAGGTCTACTCATTTTGAAAGTGAGGAAACAGAAGCTGGGAACAGCTGAAGACTGACATAGGTCTGAGGGTTAACAAGCAGCAAGGATGTAGCCCATCTGTAGCTGACCCCAAAGTCTGAATCTAACACCCTGCTATGAGTGAGCCTGGCCAAGTGTAAGCCAGCAGGTATATGACTGAGAACCCAGTGCACCGCATGCCAAGCTGCCCTCTGAATGGTGACTGCCACTGAGGAAACAGTCCTGTTCTTCCTAGACCTGGCACTGTCATCTAAGGCTAGTTATTGCAAAGACATTTTAACGAGGACAAGAAGCTGACTCCCTAGGACATTCACTGTCAATCCAAGGAGCCAGAGCCCACGATGTCCCCTTCATTTTATTTTTCTTTTACAGACCACACCCCACAGAGTCACATCCCTTGAATATAAGTTAGATTATCTAAGTCTTCATCTACTTTAAGTCTGCAAACCATCCCCCACCTCCCCCAAGCAGTTATGACACTGTGAGAGCCCCAAGAAGGCTCTGCACTGCTTAACTCTGTTCCATATTTCTTTTTTTTTTTTTTTTAAGCAGTACATAAAGTGCTTCTTTTTTAATAAAACAAATCAAGAGATGTGCAGTCAGGCTCAAGTTGTGCAGTTCACAAGCATGGAGAAAACAAACAGAAAGACAGGGTCTGACAGTCTGAGCTAACCCAAGACCAGGCTGGACTTGCCACCAAGAGGGTTTCTCCTGGATGGCGCAGGAGTCGGAGCCACCGGGCTGGAACGGGAGCAGCGGGCATCGGCTTCTCGGCACTCTCCGCCAGGCTGGCTTGGAAGTCTGTGTCCACATGTTCATGAATGTCACCTTCTCCTTTGAGATCTAAGAAGTCTCCAGAGCTTGCTTCAGAGGAGCTACTTCAACTCCGAATCTCCCCTGCCTCCACTAGACCTGGCACCTACTGGCTCCGCAAGCCTCTGCCCTCTGTTCCATATTTCAACTGCACCATTCAAGAGCCTGCCTACTACCTTCAGAAAAAAGTGCAAACTGGTACACACAGCAGAACCCATCAATCTAGGTCCTGCTCCTCGGCTGCATCCAAGCTTGACCATCCAAGGTCTGATCCTAAGGGTCTTCCTGCTATCCTACAAGCAAATGCAATTTCACATGTGTAGAGGCCTGCATAACTATGGTTGTATTATAATCTCTGGGCCAGGAACGTCCTTTCTTTTCTCCCTTATCCAACAGGCCAGCTCCCAAGCTCAATTAGCAAATTCTCCTCTCACTCAACACCTTCTAGCGGGCTGAGTGCTCTGTCGCAGGCCTACATTTCCTGACAGTGACACTGATGTAGAAGGGCCAACAGCACTACATGAGAATGGCAGGTTTGCAAATTTCTGCTCAAGAAGACACAAATCCACAAAAGTAGTTCATTCAGTGGGAGACTGCCAAGCATGACTGAAAGATGCTCAGGGGCCAGGGAGCTACAGTCATCTCCAGCACGTGCTGCAGGGACCAAGCCCATCCTCCAAAAACTACAAACGAAGAAAATGCATTAAGCCAAACCTAGGGCTTGGTATAAGAACCCTGATGCAGGAAAGTTATCAATTGTTTGTGCTATCAGGCCACCATACTCTGTGAGAGTCACAGGTTGGACCTGGCTGCCTCTGCTCAGCCACGGTCACAAGGCTCTGCTATCATAAGGGTTTCGGTAAGAAGTAACCAGAAGGTATTAAATTCTGTATTTTCCTGCTATAGTTTGTAATTTTTAATAGATATCTTCGTAAAGTCCCTATTTGACCCTTTCAGGAGATGTTAAAACATAACAAGTACAAAATTGAAACTACAAGACTGACACAAGAGTGAAGCGGGGAAAAATTAAGCAGAACCCAACCCCATCCCTGGACAAAACAAACAAACAAGCAAAACCTAAGACAATATGAATCAAACCTACAAATTGGTAGTGCTTGATACTGTTAATCTACCCTGAAAACTTAACACCCTCAAGAATTAAGAGTCAAGACAGTCACATGTCTTCCCATCTGCCCCACTGCAGAGCTAGGCCACCATGCAGATGAATGAAGAAGTCTTCCTCCACCACCAAGCTAAGTCCTATGTTCAGTCCTAACAGTCACTGTATGAGGAAAAGACCTTTAACAGACAAGAAATGTGCCGAAAGTCACAAGGCTGGCAAGTTAACACCACCAGGACAACATCCAGATCTTCATCGGATCATGCAGCCCTCTTTCCCATCCCAGTAGGATCGCTTTACTCCCAAATTACACTATAAGAAGGGAGCTTCTTGAACAGCTAGGGCAAATTTAATAAGCAAGCAGCTGAACAGACTGAGGAGCATGGTTACCAGGCGGCCCTTGGTCAAAGAAATGATGCTATGGTAGAAGTCCACTTAAAAACATGATGTCCTCAGGCTGGAGAAATGGCTCAACAGTTAAGAGCACTAGCTGTTCTCCAGGGGACTTGGGTTCAGTTCCCATACCCACATGGCTGCTAACACTCATCTGAAACTTCAGTTCCAGGGGATCCTACGGGCTCTTCTGGAGTCTTTGGGCATTATATGACATGGGTGCACTTACATACAAGCAAGCAAAACACTCATGCGCATTAAGCAAACACATAAACATTTTTAAAAAAACGAGCTGGAGAGATGGTTCAGTGGTTAAGAACACTGACTCTTCTTGCAGGGAACCCAGGTTTCATTCCCAGCACCCACACGGCAGCTAACAACTGTCCTAACTCCAGTTCCAGGGGGATCTGAGGCCTCCTTCTGACCTCCATGGGCATTGCACGACAGGGCTGCACTCACACACAAGCAGACAATACACTCGTACACATAAAAATAAATTTTTTAAAAAACCCGATGTCTTTTAACACTTCAGCACCCTTTACCCCAATGTGTGATGTACTTCAGAATACACTTTCTGGCATAAATCAGATCAAAGCAAACAGGAAAAAAATAGAATTGTATTACACAAAAATATTTTTACTCGATTCTAAGTAACCTGAGAAGCTGGCATTAGTACAAGAATGTGGGCCATCATGTTTGGATTCAAATTCAATTCAGTTCTCAAAATGCCAAACTAATTTATAAATATATATATATATATATATATATAGAGAGAG